CATGGCATTTTTGATTTTAGAAAGACTCCAACCCTCGCAGCCCACAGTTTACATCTGTGCTGCCCATCCTGCCTAAGATCCTTCCACCCATCATTCTGCAGAATTTGAGTTGGGTTGAATTGTCTTCATGTTTTCTCCAGGAAAAAAAACAGATAACTTCCTCATTCCTCAGCATGACTTTGAACTCAGCAAGCTCCTGCAAAGCTAGTGTTGGTTCCTGCCTAAATTAAAAAAAAAACTTTAAGTAGATTTTTTTTTCACTTGGTTTTCACTGTGGCCATCTGAGGTAGAGCTGAAGAGACATCCTGGACAAACATTCTCACTGACTTTGCTGATGAAAGGGACAGGAGTCTGTTGTTCTTCTATGGAAAGATCCCTATTTTATAGTGTTCTAATTTGAATTTAAGTCTGTGAGAAATACCTTTTTTTAAATTAATTTTAATTTCCATGTTAGAAAAATAGTGCGGTCTTGCAGAGACATACAATTCTGCTTTCTCTACCATCAGATTATAGTAATTTTTCTACTTTACTTTGGAATTTACTTGTTGTTATAATGATGGATCTTGGTGCTTTCTTTCATTCTTTGGCTCTGAACATTCTTTGTCAGATCTGAGCTTTTCCTTGGCTGCATGGGTTGGGTGTAAATGGCACTTAGGGAGTGCAAGTGGGTACTTGTTCAATTCAGCCTTTTCCTCATGTTAATCCTAACATCAATGTCGGGTTCCTTTTGCATCATGGTGTGGAAAATTGAGAGTTGATGGAAACTCTTCTATAGTAAGGAATGTATGTGACAAAATATGCAGGCTTGCCGAGGGCAAGTAGAAGCTGAAGTAGCTGCTCTTGGCAGTATTTTCTTAATTACATTTGTCAGCTAACTTTCTTGGCTAACAGCACAGCATTTGTCTGCTTGCAAGTAGGCTCGGTATTCGTTCAATTTAAAAACTAGAATGGCTTTTATTCTGTAAAGATGTGTCTGTACCCTGTGATTGTTTCATGGATCCACTACCAATAGTGAAAATGAGACAATGGCATCTGTGAGATAGATAGAGAGCCATGAAAATGTTTGTTGGACTTCAGGCCAGAATTCCATCACGGTCTTGGCAGCCAAAGTGCATCGTACAGATCTTCTACATATTACATGAAGTAGTTCCTAATAATTAGATCCTTGCGTATATTCCTCAGAGGGGGACTGAGAGCCTGGAATGTTTGTGATCACGGGTCAGCAATGGCAGCACCAAGATCTAACCTATAGACGAAGAGGCATTTTTTCAACTGGGTAAGAAAGCCATTCCTACTTTCACAGTGCATTCCTAGCAAAGAAGAATTAACCACACTCTCCTAATTACTATAGACAAGGCCTTAAAAGATGTTGTTCCTCAGAGGGCTGCACATTTGATATGCGAGAGAGCAATATTAACAGAGCTTTCCTTGTTGGTCTTCTAAAGGGACTTCATTGTTAGGAAAGGAATAAATGGGAAAGGTAGGCTCCACGAGCTAAATCAGTATTCAAGGAATATTACAGGTGCTACAATTAAAGTAGGTAATGTTTCCAAGTGAAATCTGAGATGTGAACCTTCTCAGATGATTTTATATGCTGACAGTACCAACACAGGGTATAAATGGACTTCATTCTCAGAAAATAAGCAGGTAATTATTAGAGGAAACCCATTCTTTAGTTTAAATTATAACATTGTTGTAAGATTGCATTCTAATACTTTACCCAAAGAGCAACGTGAAAAATACCACCAGTGCCCTAAATGTCAGCTGCGGGTTTTTTTTCCCAGAGAGGTACTGGTGTGCTAGCACACATGCTTGCAGACATCTGCATGCCTTTTTCATTCGCCTAGGTTATAAGAAATTTTGATTTGCAATACCATTTGAGAAGAGCAGTGCTAAACAAAAAAATGGCTCCACTTTTCCTAATCTGCTGTATCAGCTACTTAGCAAAGAAGAAAAATGTCTTAATTTATCTTTCAGTCCCATTTCCTCCTGCCCTTCCACCTCTTGTGTTGGAGTAGCTGCCCCTCACTACATTCTGGAATGTCGTGGCAGTCCTCCTCTTCCTCCTTCTCCTTCTCTTTAACCTCTTCCTATTTCTCCTCTTCTGCCACTCAGCCAAGGCTGCATCTCCTCCGTCAGACCTCTCCCACAAGCCAAGTTTGCCTAGACAGTGGTAGCATGAGCACCTCTGTGTCACTGCTGCTACTGTCTTTTCAGCTCCAAAATAGGTCAGCTGATATGTCAACTTCTTAACCTTCCTCTGGAGGGATGCCATAGCTGAATGCAGGACAGGAGGTGTTGACAACTGCTACAGGTCTTCATGTAAGTTGTAAACAATTGCATTTATGACTGCAGGATGATGAAAGGAGGGCCCACACATCTGTAAGATATTTTCCTCCTCTTTCCTAATTTTTATCAAGGTGGACTTATCCTCACTGAGGACATATTCCCTAAAACTGAGTAGCTGAAGTGTTTCAGTTATTGTGCTGAATGCAGCATAGAGGAGAAGCACAGATGTAACCAAGCCTCACAAAATTGACTAAATAGTGTCTCAGCTGCAGCTTCCAGTACTCTCTCCATTCCTCGCATCAATTACCCAATCCAGCTTGCAGAATTCAGCTTGTCTCCTTCCCCATCCTCCTAGAAGCTGACAGTAGGTACTGCCTGCCTCCTAGGATGATGCTTTGTCATCCTCCAGGAGAGTGGAATGAGCAGAGTTGCTGCAAACCAGATAAGGCTTTGTGGTTGGATTCAAAACTGTAACAACAAGAAGGAGCATTTTCAGCAAAAATGATGGCAGGGTGATTTTTCTCTTTGTTCCTTCATGGTCCTGCAGCCTGACTCATTCTCTTTTACAGGGCTTTTTGCCATGTGGGGCTCCCAGGGACAAAAGAGCTGCCATGGTGCAATTTAATTCCGTGCTGAAATTTGCTGTTTGGAGGAGATGACATTTCAAAGCTGAGCTCTGAATCACAGCCTTTGCTAACCAGCCTTTCATTACAGGGCTCTGTGGCATTTTAACATGGCCCTGCTCAGCACTCAGCCCTGCTGGGCACAGGGATTTTACTTGCTCTCCCAAACTGTTTGTAGCCTGACTTCTTTTATCTCAAATGAGGCAAAGTAGAGGATTTCATGCTTCCTTTGAGCTAGGAGATATCTATCCTTGTGGCTTTATATATGTGCGTGTGTAAATATATTTACACACGCTGTACAAAAATGTATTCATGTGCAGTGACAGGTGGTGCTGGCAACACCTGTTGCTGGGGTCACTCAACACTCCAGTTATAAAACCCTAATTTTAGTTGCTTATAACTTTTGTCAAACTTAAACATTTGGGCTGAAATGTTATGTGCCAGGTGTCTGCCTTAGGCTAATTTGGGGGCTGGGGAGAGGAATTTTTCAGCAAAAAAAAACATTACTGCCAGTTTGGGGAGCAGAGACGAAGGCACTGGTTTGCCCATACTGAAAGCAAACTGTTGCTGATTGAGATGCTCCGGCAGCTTCCTTGGTTTGATGCTAAAAGTTGCCAGTGGGGTTCCCCTGCTGCTGGACATATCTTTTCCCACTGTTATGGAACTTTGCAGTTTGGGTGAGATTGCACCCATTTTGGCTGGGTTACAGGCCTATGAACATGCTTGGTGGAAGGTTGTGGGCTGCTGCCCTTCAGGCTGCCTCTATCGTGCCCCGTTCCCATAGGCAGCACAGTGCTGGGGGCCATGTGTGTGCAAGAGGCCCATGGAGCAGCCCGGAGCCTGAGCACAAAGCAGGGAAAATGTGTTAGGAAAGATTTCTTGTCAGGAAGAATGGTGAGGCAGTGGCACAGGTTGCCCAGGGAGGTGGTGCAGAAAAGGTAAAGATTTGGCACTGAAGAATGTGGTTAGTGGGCATGGTGAGGATGGGAGGGCAGTTGGACTAGATAATCTTAGAGGTCTTCTACAGCCTTAATGATTTTGTGATTCAGTAATTCAGGCTGCATTGGTGGCATCAGTCCAGAGAGCAAACAAAGCAGCTCTGCTTATGTTTACCCAGCATCAGAAAGCTGGGTAAGGAATGACTGGTCCACAGGAGTGGTGGTGGTGGAAGGGAGCAATGAGAGCAGGAGGAGTGAAGATTTTAGGATCTTTATGAGAAGAAATGCTGAGGAAACAGAGGGGATCCAAGGAGCACTGGAGCACAGGCTTTATGTGGCTGCAGTCGCAGCAGCTGAGACATGCTGCCGGTAACACAACGCAGCCCTGCAGCCAGGTGGTTGCACAGGAGGATGACCTCGTGCTTCACCAATGCTCTCCCTGCATGAGTGTATAGGCTTGAACCTACTGTTAGGCACTTGTCATGAACCATAGAATGGTTTGGGTTGGAAGGGCCTTAGCAGTACACCCAGTCCCACTCTCCTGCCACCACCAGCCCAGGCTGCCCCAGGCCCATCCAACCTGGCCTTGAGCTCCGCCAGGGATGGGGCACCCACAGCTCTCTGGGAAAACTGAACTTCAGAGCCTGTATGGTTTCATCCTTATGCTGTTTCAGGAGGAAGAGTTGTTCAATTTACTTCTGCTTGGTAACATCACATTTTTCTTGCTTTTTTTTTTTTTTGTATTTCTTAGCATTTGAATATGCAACCTGCACTGGAAGGCTTCTTATGCATATGTACAAATCCTTTTGTAAATAATACAACTATTTCTTACTGTATAATCATACTTTGGAATCTGTACTGCATTGGTAGCCCGCAAAATGCAAAATCACACCCATAAATTAGTCATAGATACCGAGGTGGTTTGTGATTTCACTGAGGTTGAAGAGCATTTGGATAGGTTGCTCGTATTATTTTGAAGTTGTCCATTCTGGATCATTGTGGAAATTAGAAACAAACTGCCTGCTGCAAAATATTCTGTTTCGTATTACTTACCACTTTCCCATAAAAATCTGAAGAAATGTCACAGAACCTGATCAAAGTTTAAAGTCAGACTTTGTTATTGAATTATGATGATTTTTTTTTATTGTAGGTAAAAGCTCGGCCAAGAAACTGACAAAAAAGGTAAGCAAAATGTTCCTTTCGTTCTTCAAAAGAATTTGCATTCTTTCTGTTTCTCAACCAAAAAGACTTCTGTTTCTAAACTGGTTTTCCTTTTTTGTGTCTCTAAAGGAGGTGGATGCTGCACTGCTGTGTGTTACAAAAGCTAAACCAGGACCGACCTTTTTTAGAGAGCTTGGTGATAAAGGTAACGAAATACTTTCGGTACCGAGAAACACATCTTGTTTTTTATCTCATCAGACAGTATGAATTGAATCTAGTTTTAAAGACAGTTGCATGGATTTGACTTCATCCCCATCTCAGCAGCTGCTGCCACCTTGGCATGTCTCAGTTACACGAGGAGGAGGCAGGAGGCAGGGCTGGGGGCTGAGAGTCTCCTGGAGAAATTAAAAAGCAGTCTTAGAGAAGAGAAGAGGCTAAAAGGGTACAAAGTGGACTTCTAAGGCTTGTTAATAAACTGCTGTTTCATTGTATAACTTAAATGCGTGGAAGCAAAGAAAAAAAGAAAATTTGTATCTGATTATGTAAAGTGTCCCCCCTGGTTCCAGGGGCAGTGACAGTTGTTTCTGCTTCATTGGGAGCTCAGTGCTGCCCCACAGGAGCAGTGTGCTGGGGTTTCTTTTAACCCAGCAGTTCCACCTTTCAACTGGCAACACAGGAAGAGAAAATGCTGAGGGCTGGGATATTGTTTGTGAAACAACGGGGAATTAAAAACACCAAATAAACACCTCATTAACATAAATTAATTGAAGGGAGGGAAAACAAACAAGAGGATCAAGGAAAACAAATAAATGAGTAATTAACCATTTCAATCAGTAACAAAGACTGAACTCTCCAGACTAATGAGAAGGACTGGCAGTGTCTATTCACAAAGTGCATGGTAGAGGTCAGCCCACATCCCTTGGTCCATGGTTGTTTCTCTTTCTGTCTGTGTAATGTGGAGGCTGTGAGCATCCCCTGCCTGCAGCCCTGTCACCTCTCTGAACAAGTTCAACATTTCTTTCCAATCCTGAGGAAGTCTGTTTCATGCTGAATATTTACCTCCTGTCTTTTCAAATTACTATTTGTTATCTTCTTTCCCAGGACAGGATTTAAAGGATTCCCAGCATTTAATTCTTGGATATTGTTTCCCTATCACTGCTTTCTTAAGGCTTTTCTTTCTGTAGTGGTTGACAGCACAAATCCCTAACACGTTCTGCCTGGGAAAATCAGGAATCCACCAAGAGAAAGCAAGAACATAGCAAAGCAGCAGAGCCCCCTGGCACTGTACTACGCCAGCTGGCTGCTTGGGGCTGCTGGAATGTCTTTTCTGTCCTGGGACCACCAGCCTCCTCTCATGTGGCTCTGTGGGTCCTCATACTTTGCCCTTCAAGGATCTGGTAGGAATTGGAGATGATGCAGAAACACACAGTGCTGTCATCTCTATGACTTTACAGCACGTGCAGTTTTTGGTCATGATCTCCCTGTACTGACATCGACGCTTTTGTCTTCAGATCCAGCTATAAATATTTATGCATTAAATACCACTTTTACACATACCGAAATAATGAATCTACACCTGTTCCGTGGTTTAGCTGAGATTTATTTTAACTACCATCAAATTCTTTTTTAAACATAGAGTGGAGGGAGTGCTCTCAGTCCAGTTTGTGAAGTGTAAAGCTGGGGAACTCTGCCTTCTAGTGGCTGTTTTAAAATGTACACCATCTTTTGTGGTATATTAATGATTTGTTCGATAGTGAGTATATCGTCCTGTCGGCATTTGCTATAAAGCCTGAGGGTGGAGATTTCCAAGGAGGCACAGGAAAGCTTCATATAGTCTTAGAAAATTATAATGTTTTGCCAATGCTAAATGAAAATACTTGGCTGCAAGTCTGCTGAGTCATTCGACAGCAGGTGAAGCTTTAACTTGGACATGAATGCAGTTTGCTTTGCTATTTTTTTAATGTTCCACTGCATCTTTTAAATGTAAAATTTGAGTAACTTCGTAATGATTACTGTGCAATGAAAATTACTGAACTGACTAATTTACTTTATGGTTAAGGTAAGTTGGCAATTCACTGCAGACAATGATAGAACAAAAAGATCAAATGAAGAATTTTTATCGTAATCAAACCATGGGTCAAAAGAAATTACATCTCAAGTGATTTTGATATAATCAGCCTGCCAAAAAATATTAAACGTGGTATGGATTGACTTTAAGATACTGAGGCTTTAAAGAGCAATCAAGACAGTTTTCACTATTTTCATTTCTTGTATCTTTTCGCCTGTTTCCCTTTAGTGACTTCCCACTCAGCTTAAGGTAGTGGAATGAAAACTGCCCTTCCACTTCTTGCAGGGCCGTCTCCTTGCAGCCCTTTGCAGTCAGTGATTGGTGCCATTGCACTCCTCCTTTAAGCCATGAGCAGGGTTGTCTTTATCAAAACATTTTGAAATTGCTTTAAAATGGGAGAGCGTAGATTCAGAGTAGACATTAGGAAGAAATGCTTTACTCTGAGGCTGGTGAGACACTGGCACAGGTTCCCAGAGAGGTTGTGGATTCCCCCTCCATGGAAGCATTCAAGGCCAGGCTGGACGGGGCTTTGAGCAACCCAGTCTAGAGGGAGGTGTCCCTGCCTATAGCAGGGGGTTGGAACTAGATGATCTTCCAATTACTTTTATTATTTTATCTGCCATGTCCATATCCTTCCTAATGCTTTGCTAACAATGTTTTTCTGTGGTCATCTACAAAGTACATTATCTCCTACTGCATATCTCAGCAACACGGGGCCTCCTTTTACTCTGCTGAGCAGAAGCACTTTGTTTCCACCTTCCACGTCTGCCATGAGCAGTTGCTGTGCAGAACAGCTGAGAGGGAGACACCCCATCCACTTGGCCAGCGATCGTCATTGACAGTTGGACTACGTGATCTTTGTGGTCTTTTCCAACCATAATGGTACTGTGATTCAATGATCCCTTGCTCGTAAAATCTTCAGATGGTGATCTCTGTGCCAAGTCCACAGTTGTCCAAGCCTAGGAGGTGTTTTCTCTATCCACTTGAAAAGTTACCTCCTTGTCTTCCCTTATCTTCTTCTTTTTAACTGCATTTGCTGTGACACGTATAAAACAAAACTAGAGAGCAAAGTGTCACTGCTTGATTTTTTTCCTCTCCTATTTATTTCTGACCATTTTCTATCTCATCTTAAGTGTGTAGCATAAAAAATGGGGTAAGATCTCTGTTTCCAATTGTTTGATTTTGAATTTGTAGAAGTCTTGGACATTGTCTAGGAACAAGATAGCAAGTTTTACAGCAATGCTAATAATTTATATCCTCGCAATGGCCATATTAAGTTTATTGGCAACACATGAGAATCATAGAATCATAGAATCACAGAATTGCTCAGGTTGGAAAAGACCTTAAAGATCATCAAGTCCAATCGCAACCTAACCATCCTACCCTAACTCTATCAACCCTCCACTAAAGCATGTCCTTGAGCACCACATCCAAATGGTTTTTAAACACATCCAGGGATGGTGACTCAACCACCTCCCTGGGGAGCCTATTCCAGTGCTTCACAACCCTTTCTGTAAATAAGTTTTCCCTGATGTCCAACCTGAACTTACCCTGGCACAACTTGAGGCCATTTCCCCTCGTCCTGTCACCTGTCACCAGTGAGAAGAGACCAGCCCCGCTCTCGCTGTAAGCACCTTTCAGATATTGGGAGAGAGCAATAAGGTCTCCCCTCAGCCTCCTTTTCCCCTGACTAAAAAACCCTACAACTTGTAAGCAAAACTAAACATTTGAGATGACATTTTCCCAGGCAACAAGCAAGACACGGGGAAATGTCCGCAAGTTGTATCAGAGGAGGTTTAGAGTAGATGTAAGGAAGAACTATTTCTCTCAGAGAGTGGCCAGGCACTGGAATGGCTGCCCGGGGAGGTGGTGGAGTCGCCGTCCCTGGCAGTGTTCAAGAGGGGTCTGGATGACGTGCTGCGTGATGTGGTTTAGTGCTTGTGGTGGCAGTGGTGATGAGGAGACGGTTGGACTGGATGATCTTACAGGTCGTTTCCAACCTTGTGATTCTATGATTCTATGACAATGATTCTGTGATTCTGTGCAAAGTATTTTTTATTTGCACAGTGCATTGTGAGTGCAGTACTGTGCTGAGTTACACATGGTGCGTGCTGGAAAGTGGAGTGAATGAATAGCCCTATTTTGATGGAGAGGAAAGCTGGAGCTCAGATGCAGAGTGGGTCGGCAGAGGGAGCAGCGTCAGGCCTGGCTTTGGAGATCTGTTCTCAGATTTTCAGACTGTTGCTTCCAGCAGCCCAATATTCCTAAACTCTGGAAGTTAAAACTTAAAGTAAGTCACTGTCTGAGACCAAATACAAATGTTGTCAGTTCAGAACAGTGATTTATCAGAAGTTAATCGTCTATTGGTGAAGCTTAAGTGGATTCTTTATCTATCAATTAACTCTATATAAATTATTATAAATAGTTTATCTTTACACAGATGGGCACGTTTGAACTTCATTATTTTAAGCAGCTTCAGCATTACACAATGTTTAGCTCAGGCGTTAAAAGTAGCTCAGTTATTTTGAAAAGTGATTTATAGAAAAGCCCTTTACATTTTTTCTCCCAACGTTATTGCAGTGCAGATGGTTCAGATTGTGCTGCTCAGCCACCCTCGTTGCGCGCTCTATCTTTAGCTTCTACGCTCTATTTTGACGCTATCGCATCTCTGTGTTTGTTCAGGCTTTTTGCTTAAGGCGGTATTTCAAAGGAAAACACTGGAATTTTCCTTCAAAAGGGGGGAAAATACTTTCACCTTGTAGAAAGGACGTGTTCCTATTTAAAATAAAAAAAAAAAAAAGAAGGCTCCCTTGGCAGGCAGCCCAGCCGCACTATCAGTGCAATCTCTTAGCTTGGCAGCTCTGCACGCTGCCATGTTCCCCATGGGAAGCTGCTCCCCTCCTGGCCCAGCTGCCAGGGGATGGAGCACTTTGATCCATCCAGGCAGCGCTGAGTGCTTCTCCTCCCGGGTACTAAATGTGACAAAGCACTCCAAATTTATTTGCCTTTTCTATAAACACTGAATGTTTGCAGTGTGAACGCAGAGATTTATGCAGACCTGTTGTTAATACCAAATAAACCTGACTCTCCTGATGAGATGGGGACATTGATGAGTCTCCGGATAGGGAATTTTACCTTTGGAGCACTAAAAAAAGAAGTAAAAACTTTATTAAATAATTATGAGGCTTACTTCAGTGACCTATTTTAAATGATGTTGAACTGCAGTTTTCACATTTATGAGATCTGATCTTTCAAATCTCGTTATAGGGATATATATTTTATGTGAGTCATTTTTTAACTGTTTCATTTCAGGGCTGATATCTTATGCAGAGTACCTGTTTTTGCTGACGATCCTTACAAGTAAGTGTTACATATTTAAAATACGTATGCATCGCTACTCAGCTTTTGACATCTTTCTGGAAACTTTTTCTGGTACTTTTTAACTAAATTTCTGTGCTGTAGTTTAAGAAACTTGAATATAGAGTGATAAGGCAGTGACATAAATGGCTATAACTTTGGTTGATCGCTGCTTGGCTCCATAATGTCATTGCTGTTCCATAGCAGCATGTCAGAAATCTGGGCAAGCTGCACGCCACAGGGTCAGGAAAGTCCTCCAAGAGTCATTGCAAAATGGGAAGAGTTGTGCATAGGAGCACATAAGGAGGGGAAGAACACAGTGAGGGGAAGTAAATAATTTCTCACCTGCACAGTGGTTTCAATCATTTTGCACAGTGAGATGTGAGCTTTGAAGTTCATGCGTCAGTGTAAAGAACTATAGCAGTGTCTGTAAGGTTGTTGCTTTTTATGTATATGCTCAGATATGTAATGGATGATGTGCAGAAGCACCATGTCAGCACATGTTTTTTGTCTGACTTCTTTCTCTTCTCTTTGTTTCTCTTCCTGTTGACTATTTCCCCATGTATTTTACATGTATTTCCTACTCCTCCTCCACCTCCTTCCCCTTTCACTCTCAGACACTTTTTAAAGAACATGTTGTTTGGTAACCTCGATAGCCAGAGTCTCCATCCACTTGAGCTAAGAGATGTCACTCTCATGTTTTGTCGTGGAAGTGGAGAGGAGAGTTTGGGCAACTTCAGTAGGGCTCAGAGCTGAACCCATGGCCTGTGCTTGCAGACAGTGTCACCCTGCTGCATAACACAGCATGAAATATAATGCTTTATCTGCGAACAGCAAGCATTTTTTGCTTGTGGGTGGAACTGATCTTGGATTTTCTAAGTTTTCTCACTCATAATTACTCTCTGCTGTTCCTGCCACCTCCCCATGCTATTCTCATGAAGTGCAAGTGAAGCTGGAAAATACCAAGGTTTGAAATAAAATGCATACGACAAATGTTGTGCAGAAAGACCATGGTGGTAAAATAGCACACGTCCATGTATCCAAGTCTGTCTGACTTACACAGATCTGACAACTTAAGCAAGAGACAAAAACAATCTTAAGCATACTGAATCTTGTGGTATCAAGGGATGAAGAGAGGAGAGAAGGAATTAGCCACTCTTAACCCAACAGGCTCATTACCTCCTTGGCCACAGGATTCATTGCCTGAGACTGAACAACATGGCAAATGTTCCTTGCTCTAGAAATGCACTGTCTCAAGGTCCAGCACCAACCACTGGCAATATACACAGTCTCTAAAGAGCAGAGAAGTTACGTGAAGTTTTAACAGACACTGACTGCTGGTGTACAGCACTTGGGCCATTCAGCCCTTTTACAGCATATATCATTTCTCAGCAGGAAAAGATTCCTGCCTGCAACACAGCAAGAAGGGGGATTAGATTGGACATGAAGAAAAACTTCTCTGAAAGAATGGTCAGGCACAGGAATGGGCTGCCCCGGGAGGCTGTGGAGTTACCAGCTCTGGAGGTGTTCAAGAAATGTTCAGATGAGGGGGGTGATTTAATGGGAAATATTGGTAAGTGGGCAACCGAACTGGATGATCTTGGAGGTCTTTTCCAACCTTGGTGATTCTATGATTCTGTGATCTGCTAGGGAACCTCATCCAGTACATGATATTACATAGTGTATATACGCTAACAAAGTCCATTTGCAATACAAATATGCTGTTTCACCTTACTGGATGAAACAATTTGAAAATTGAAGCAGTACCAGCGCGAATTGTTTCACTACTCTAAGCCATCAAATGTTATTTTTCACATAATTTATATAGCAGTGAACTGAACTGTAAGAACAGAGGCACATTTTGATGCAGGGTGTCCAGTTACGCAGAGGCCTGTAGAATCACAGAATCGTTAAGGTTGGAAAAAAACAGTAAGATCATCTGGTCCAACCGTCAGCCCATCCCCACCGTGCCCACTGTTGCTGACAACACCCACTAGCCATGGCCTTCAGTGCCACGTCTCCATGGTTCTTGAACATCTCCAGGGACAGTGACTGCCCCACCTCCCCACCTCCCTGAGCAGCCTTTGCCACTGCCTCACCACTGTTTCAGAGAAGAAATTTTTCCTAATATCCAACCTATCATACAGGGCTGTTTGAAAGTGAATGTCAGCAACTTGGTGCCTCATTGCCTAACAAGTATGCCATGTCAGTCAGACCTCAGCAAAATGACCTTCCTCTCTCATAGTGAGAATTAAAGCAAGATTTCTTAGACAAATTAATGCTTAAATGACTTCTTCTGAATTACCAGTGCAATGGGGAAACCAGAAAAGTGACTCCTAGCTTCAGAATGCTGCTGGTCAGCCCGTGCTGTCCATCGTATAAAAGCAGCATCTGTAGCACTAAGCCTCCAAATGTAAATCTGTGGGAGACAAAGGCTTTATTTTGCCCACTGTGATCCCCTTTCTCTTTTCTGTGTTCCGTGTATCATCATCGTCTTTTTTCTTTCAGTGCTGTATTGGATTTCATTTTCAGCAATTGGTTAATGGAGCTTTCTGTAAAGCCCTGCTTGCTGAACAGGCCCAGGAACTGAAATTGTCACCATGACTAAAAGCATTGCTCCAATTAGCCAGTCACCAAAGTTGACAGTTTGGTCAACGCAGGAATGATTTCAGGGGAAGCACCTTTGTGTAGCCTGCACTCACAGCTAAGATGAAGCTCTTGGGTTCAGATTTTGGAATTTTGCCTGATTCTAATTAAATACAAATACATCTGAAGTAGTCTTTGAACTATGCTTATTTTACGAACACATACCTTTGAGGTTGCATCATATCAGATAAGTATGTCATTTGAACAGTATAAGCAGCTTTAGGTCCTATATTTTCAGTAACAGCTTTCTTATCTGAAAACTGCAACACAGATGGTATGAATTACTATTAAATACATCAATTACTTTTATTCCCTGAATACGTTACAGGATAGGCTCTTCTTGCTTTAGTAGTAGTAACACAAATCTAGAGTGTGGCATTTCCACGGAAAAGAAGCCCGTTTTGATTATTATGGCCCAGTTGCCAGGGAAAGGCTCTGCTATGTAGATTGCAGTGGTATTTATAAACTATCCTTACATCACAAGGTTGCTTCACAGAGGACGTTAATTGGCAGCTGAAGATAAAGTTATTTCTAAAATGTAAAAATAGTTCTTTGTTTAACCATCTTGCTATCACTTAAAAAAGAAGAGGCTATTTCTGTAACTTCTTGCCTTTTCAGGAAGCCTCTCTAAACAGAAGCAAGATTAAAGCTTTACAGGGTGGAACTGGAAGAATGTGCTTCCAAAATAAAAGAAAATCTCTGGAGGCATTAGTAATTGTAGAGAAACTGCTTCACTGCCCTCATGAGTCCAACATTGCTCTTGGAAACATGAATGTATGCTAGAGAAGATAACTCCGTGGCTTTCACATTAATGCCTGACATGACTGTGCTGTGGAATTAATTCACCTGCTCCAGAAATGACTGGGCTAAGTGCTGGCTACTGCAGCGAGCCAGTGAGTAAATATACTTCAGCAGCACGCTCCTCCTGTGTGGGCTTGCTAATGAGCGAGGTCACCTCGTGTAAGCAAAGTCAGAGCAGGAAACTGTGGGAAGGAGCTCAAAACACCCAGTGTTTTTACAGCGCCTGCAAAACTCAGAACTCATTAAATGTTCGTGTTGAAAAGAAACATCCACTGGGTGAAGGAAATGCACAGCAATGTTGTATAAAATTCCCAAAAAATCAGCGTAATGGGAGGTGTACAAACATGCTTTAGCAAAGAAAAGAAGGCCAGAAGGAGCAGTTTATTACGTCTCAGTAACACTGGAGTTGGTTGTTTAGGGAGGTTGGAGAAGAGAATGGAACAACACCATGGGAATAGGAACTGGGAGAACGTGGACAAGACCAGTCTGTCTTCTGGACTAGCGAAGACTGAAAATAGCAGCATGCAGCAACATGTGCAAGAAGTGCTGGAGAAAGACTCTATCTCTTTCTTTCTCATTAATTACCCAGTTTGGGGGCTAGTTAATGGTCTCTCACAGCACTTTCCAGTATTCTCAGCTAAAAGTAGCTCCAAACAGGGGGTAAAGCTAGATTTCAGAAGTGAGCAAGGATTACAGAGAAATCTGTAGATGCTGTCTATGAAAGACCACAACAGTAGGACAACATTTTCACAGTCATTGGGAGCAGGTATTTATTTAGCAGGCTGTATTTAGACACTGCCAGCATTTGCTGCTTTGCTACTGCTTTAATAACAGCAAAAAGGTGTTTGTCTTATTTAAGAGTTTGTTTATATTGGATGGGGTACACATTGCTTACTGGAAATAGGATGCATGTGCACAGCGATGTCAAACAGAATCTATATTTCCTTTAGATTAAATATTCCTGTACAAGTGTAACTGCATGTGCATGGGTGTGTGTGTGCATACGTCATAAAGTTTTTTCACACTTTGTTGCAGAACCCCAGACTGGGTTTCAGATTGCTTTTAAAATGTTAGATACGGATGGCAATGAGCAAGTTGAAAAGAAAGAATTTTTTAAGGTATGTATCTTCTCATGCTTATTGATTTTAAAGCTAATAAGCAGCGGCATAGCTTCTGTTTGTTAAATGAAGATTCATTAAAATCTTCAAGCCCATTTTTCCATCCAATCTGAGATCACGTTTGCTAGAATATGTTGTATGAAAGGAGTACATAGCAAAGCATTGCTTTGTATTGCTTAAAACAATCTCCAACAGAAAGAAAAATGGTGTGGCTTTAATGTTTTCAAATGCTTGTATAAGAACAGCTGAGTTAGGCTGCACAGAGAGTCCATTAGACAAACAGTAAGATACTGCCCAACACATTCACATGAGACTTGACAAGGGGGATTTCCAGATGTGCATCTCTTGATTAGGAACTTGATACTGGTGCACATAATAACCCAGGCACAGTCACCTGAGACCTCCCATCAAGGATAAGGCCACCAAAGGTCTCCAAATCACCAATGAGGAATTTCCCTAATAGCTCTGGTGCGTGATTTCTAAGTAAAATTAATAACTTCATTGGGAGTGGAAGTACAATAACTTCACTGGCACATGCAAGAGCTGTGCGATTCAGATTTAATTGACATCTTTACACAGTTGTTCAGGACTGAGCAAACAAGCACTCTGCATTGTCAGCTGTTGTCAAGGTTGGTATTGACCACCAATACTGTACAGTCTGATAGCATCCACATGCACCAAACTCTCTCCAACAAATTTACAATAGGCAAAATCCCTTCTTGTTTTTTTCTTGAAAATGGACGTATCTTTTCAGCCAGCTGATCTTTAGAAAATGTTGCTTCTTTGTATGCCTTTAGGAGAGAGGCATGCATTATGCATAATAGGCATCACTCTCTTTGAATTAGCCATTAGTATCATACGGCAGTGAACAGATATAAATATTAAATGCAGATAAATGTTACATAGGGAAATTGAGTACTGGAATACTAGAGTCCATTGCTCGAAGGCAGAATTCACATCCTTCTGTGAGTAGCAGCTACATTGTGCCGGAAAAAATGTGCAAGCTACTGGAAATTATCATCATTCTTTCCAAAATAATAATTTCAAAAGTAATATGGATTTACATGTCATGTAAGAAAACAATAAAACCTGCCAGAACACTTGCAAGAAAATACTGTGAGTCAGTGTTGCTTAGTATTCTTCACAAATTTTCTAAGAGTCCTTTAAAAATGCAACACAACAGAAAAAAAGAACAGCACATTTTCTGTCATTCGGAAAGCATTTCCTATTGTATCTCTTGTTTCAGCTAGATTTTTTCAGTTAAGTAAAAATGCGGTTTTTCAGAAGGAAAATGGGGAAGCAGTTGTTTTTGTACCCAGAGGTCAATACTGCTATTTTGCCATCAGGAAATTCGTAGTGTTTTTGCTGTATCGTTTTGTAGTGATTAAAAGAGAAAATCAGAAGTGTGGCCAGGAGGGACAGGGAGGTGATCGTCTCTCTCTATTCTGCCCTCATGAGGCCCCATCTGGAGTACTTTGTCCAGGTCTGGGGCCCCAGTACATGAAAGACGGGGAGATGTTGGAGCAGGTCTAGAAGCAGGCCACAGAGATGATCAGGGGGCTGGAGCACCTCTTCTATGAAGACAGGCTGAGGGAGCTGGGCTTTTCAGCTTGGAGAAAAGAAGGCTACGGGGTGACCTCATTGCAGCCTTTCAGTACCTAAAGGGAGCCTGCAAACAGGAGAGGAGTCAACTTTTTGAAAGGGTAGATAACAGCAGGACAAGAGGAAATGGTTTTAAGTTGATGGAGGGAAGATTTAGGTTGGATGTCATGGGGAAGTTCTTTACTAGGAGAGTGGTGAGGTGCTGGAACAGGCTGCCCAGAGAGGTTGTGGATGCCCCGTCCCTGGAGGTGTTCAAGGCCAGGTTGGATGGGGCCCTGGGCAGCCTGGTCTGGTATTAAATGGGGAGGTTGTTGGCCCTGCCTGCGGCAGGGGGGTTGAAGATTCATGGTCCTTGAGGTCCCTTCCAACCCTGGCCATTCTGTGATTCTGTGATTCTGTGAAAAAGAACTTAGAGAAACTTGGAGGAATTCATATGTTGAACTGTCTTGTCTTTAGATTGTCAAGTCGAGCTGTTCAAACAATACTAGTAGAAATTAACTATCCCAAGGAACTCAAAAACTATGATTAAAAAAAAAAAACAACAGGTGAATTAGTTAAAAGTTTAAGGTCATGAGAAGATCTGTGGCAAAACAAATAGCATGCAGGTTTTTCCTACTCACTGCTTGCAAACCTATGTTCCTTCTCTGAACTACACAGCAAAAAAGAAAAGAAAAAAAAGGAGGGGGGAAATATAAAGCCCTAAGGAGAGATTTGAAAAACTTACAAAATAATGGCCATGCAGATTTGGTCATGGGTGAGGAATTGCTCAGAAATGCTTGGTAAACAAGCAGCAGCCTGAACTTTAGAACTGTCTTTCCTAAAAACCCCATATCCAGAATGCTCAGTGTAACTCCACGTTTATGCCTTAGATTTGATAAGTCCTTTCTTCTTTCATTTTTGCTGTCGCTTCAAGGATTCATTCTAATGTCTGTGAAAGGTAGGTGCACATTGTGCTTTGTTAGATCTCTCATTCTTTGGCACTGTTGACTTCCCAGGCTGAAATACAATCATAAAGAAAGCTTGCAGCCAAGGAACACTTGAGGTGATTTTAATAATCAGCAAATTAATGCATTTTTAATATTACCTTAAACTTCTACTTCAGACAGTTTTTAAGTGTGAGTCATTTCAGTACTTCTAAAGATCACATTAGCTAATTCATTCAGTATTCATTTCATTTGTGGGATGGAGGGGAAGCTCAGAACGCATTGTGCTTCATGCCAGTTCTGAAAATATGGTTGCTTATTTAATTGAATTACTCTTGTTTTTGTTAATTGTACTGTATACCTCATTTGAACAGACATGTCTTTCGTGTCTAGAAGATCTTGTCTGTAGCAGTAAAGATGACTAGAAGGACAGCATGAGATTCACAGGATAATTTCTCTTCTCCAGATGGCCCTTGATGTTCTGTCTATGAGTTTCAAGATTTTATGGAGTGGATGCTAAACTTGTGGTGCAAGACCATCTCTTCTAAAAGTGTCCACTGGATTGCAAAAGACAGATTCGTATGCTCTGCTAGGCAATATTAACCACAATAGATCAGGCTTTCTCAGAAAGTGTATCTGAATAGCAAAATATCCTTAATATGCAAATACTTTGTCATAAAAAGAGAACCTGGCAAAAACCTAAATGAGTTTCCAGTTATTGTGAAATTAGTGCAAGTTTCTGAGAGACTCTTTTAATACCAATCTTGTAATTTTCCTGTTTTGTTATGTCTAAATGAATGCAGATGCAGAGAATCATTGGAAAAGAAGATGATTTGAAAACAGCTGGAGATGAAACCGTATTTCAGGTATGAAATAGAGATGCATTTTTCTTAACAAAGGCACTGTCGTATTTCCTGTTGACTTTGTTATATTTTTATGTGTATATAAGCATCAATGACTGTTATAATTAATATAAGTGCATTGGATGTCAATTTTGTAACTTGGGAAGAAAAATTATTTTCGTTTCTGCATGTCCTGATGAAGTTTATGCAATTAATTTATTCTACTTCTGTGTAATATAAATATATACATATTAATAACTGTGTAGCCATTATTTAGTTTCTGCAAGGTTCTGTTTTAAAGTAATTTCATTATACTTAACGAAAAATCCAGAAAACCCTCTGTATTGATACATGAGAAAAAATGGCTGCAAACATGAATTGATACCTTCAACTTAATGTAAGTGCTGCTGCTGCAGTAATATCAGCTTATTTTGAGTTGGTTTGTGTCAGGATGGAATTACTTTCTTCAGAGTGTTTGGTAGGGTGGTATGTTTTTGATCTAGGAGAAAAACAATGTTGATAATACAGCAATGCTAATTGCTGCTAAGCAGTGCTATACAGAGCTAAGGCCTTTCACAGTGAAGGGCCCAGGAAGCTGGGTGGAAACAGAATTAGGACAGCTGACTTAAACTGGCCAAGTGTAATTCCATGACATGTGGCATCACGCAGGAATTTTGAAGGGGATGAGAGTTATCTGGCTCTCTTCTGCCACTTAGGGAAAGCTGGGCATCAGCTGGGGAGTGGTGAGCAATTGCTTGTATAAAGACTTGTTCTTTATATTCATATATATATATATATATATATAGTCATAACTATTTTCCTTTCCCTTTTCTCTATCTTATTAAATAGTTTTACCTCAACCCCTAAGTGCTACTTTGTTGTTGTTTTTCTTATTCTCTCTCCCTTCACTCTGAGAAGGAGGGGAGTGAGCGTTTGGTGCTGAGCCATCTGCGGGACAGACCACAACAGTTTGAAATATATTTGCTGTGGTTCAGGTGACAAAGGCACGCATTGCCTTTGTTAGTTCCATTTCCAAAAACAAATAGCTTAATTGCAGACCAGAAAAGGAAGCAATCTTAGAATGCTGTCTTCAGGCTGGGTTAGAAGGGACTGGGACCATTAGGAAATGGCAAATGCACACCATCAGGGAAAGAAGAAGGTAAATTCCTGCTCCGTTCTGGCTGTTTTTCCCTAAATCTTGCCAGTGTAACCTACCTTATTTTCTGAGATGAGTGTTTGGCAGCTGTCATCTCTTCTTCAGTCTCTGTTCAGCACAGTGACATTGTGTTGCCTGAATGAGATTGAATGAGACTGAAAACAGAGGAGGAACATCTCAGTGTACTGAGAACACCTCGGCAGAAGCCGATGAACTGAGGCAGAGAGGAGAGTGCAGATGAGCTATCTCCATCTGGAGTGTTTCCTGCATCCTCAACATTATCTCTGTTGCATTGCTTATTCTCTCCACAGACTTGCTTTCAGTCTTAAACTGAAAATGGATAGTTGGGAATGGGACATCAACTGCTGATGTTACAAGCTAAGCAAATGCTAATGTTGTTTCAATAAGAAATTAATACAGGGATCTGCTTTATAAACCCCACTGTGCATCAGCAGTTTCTACAAAGAGTAAGGTTAGTTTGTGTTATTTGCTTTTTCACCAATCTCAGACAAAACAGAAGTGACAGTATGGGTAACACCTTTAGTATTGACTAGGCATAAACATAAATTGCCTTTTGTTGCATGCAGGTATTTGGTCCCTCACTGTGCGTACAGAGTTCAACTGAAAATTATTTGGCTGAACAACAACCAACTCTTCAGTCACCAGATTAAAATAGCTACAAGTAATGGGGTTGTCTGCTCCTTCAAACCGATTTCCACTGAGACTTAATTTCTGTAAGAGTGAAAGAAAAATAATCTTCATTCTATCAGATTTCCAGAGAAACTTTGATACAGTTGGACAGATTTGTCTAAAAACACATAAGTGTAGTAGGAGCTAATTAGTTACCTGAGCCAGGATGTCTCCATTTTGTTGTGCCTCTTCATAATGCTCCATTGCAAAATATCTGAAATTACTGTAACAAAAAAAAAAAATTAAAAGCAGTTTCTTAACAAATTATAAATGGATTATAGTGTACTCAAAAGATGAAATAAATGCATTTATAGAGTACAAATATCTTGAAATTCTTCTGTTTTCCATATTTTTACTCGGGAAAATCCAATTTGTCATTTTTATTTTTACTTCCTGTCTCTGTCTCTCTAAGCACAAGTTGATTATAAGCAGTGCATCTAACAGTGCAATGTGGTATCAATTTTCGTATGTTTACTCCCTATTTCTCACAGCTATGGCACTTACAGTATTATTTTCAATCAAAGCAGGTAAAGCATAAAAATATTTACGTTTACACTGTTCTTCAAAAGCTGGGAAGTTGCAACAGAAGTTTGCTGTTTGGGACAGTTCTTTGCTCCCCTTCCTTTGTAATTTGCATGCACGTTCACTGCTCTTTCAGAGTAATCCCAGTTTGATTTGTGATACCAGATGAAAAAAGTGTCACTGCCTTATGACAGTAAGATTTAAATGGCAGTCTGCAACTTCATTTCACCTCCAGACATGTCGAGGTTTGTTCCCTGCCCAGCAGGCAGGCAGAAGCCCAGGTCAGTCGTATAATGGTGAGATATACCCCTCAATACTCATTGAGAGACTGTGCTAGGAAAAGAAATAGCCTTTTTTTGCTTTGCACCATCTTTGGTCCATGCATCTCTGTTTCTGGGATTGGGAGTCTGAATATGCCACTAACATTCAGAATGTTACCAGTTATGAGTGGCCTTTGACAGGGATTGCAGTGAGCTTGGTTGTCCAAGTAAACACATTTCGATTGAGAGATTTTTCTTTTTCCAATATACTGTTGTTATCAATGCGGGAAGGACATCAGAAAAAGTTGCCTCGCCTTAACCAGCCCAGTCATTTAGGAGGCTCTTTGCTGATTTTTTCCCATGCGATTTACTTACAGCACAGGCACACATACAGATAGATGCAGGCAGGCTTACAGAACCGTCAACCTGTTTGGTGTATTTTGAAAAAGGTGTTGTCCAGTTAAATGCAGTAGTTGCTTCTTGGTATTGGTTGCCTGAGTTCCTTTAAAAGGTTGCTGTAACAGTGTTATCTGCATCAGCGTTGCTGTAGTGAAACCAAAGCGAATGTTTGCTGATATCTGCCCTACAGCTAGAGCAGGGACTTTGTTCCTGGGTCCTTCTGTTTAGATTAATGAGTTGTCAGGCAGTTTCAATACTTCCAATTTAATATGCTTTGTGCAATGGATCAACTTAGAAAATAAGTTTAGCTATTGCTTGGTGTTCGGGAAGGAATGACAATGCAGAATCTTCTATAATTGTTTTTAAAATTGAATTAATGTGGGGAAATATTACCTGCATTGTTAAGTTCCAAATGGTTAAACATATGCTCCTGAATTCCATAATGAATGCATTTTCACACAAAGAATCTAACTTCTGTGTGCTTTTTTTAAACATTTAACTAGTACTTGGGGACATAGCTATTAATCTCTCTTAAATGGTCTACTTTTATGGTAGCACATGGGTATTTTCCTATTGTTGTGTAGCAATTGTTTTAGCCTGTTTACTTCTCTCTTTTTCTTCTCTTTATTTTCTCCTAAGAGTGGTGAATGACATCAGTTGTCCTCACGTTTGTCACCACGTATGACCTTCAAACATTGCAGCACTGCAGTGCATCTCAGCCCCAGAGACTGGGCAGGCCATCTCATAACTTGTCCATCTGCTTATTAGAATTCCTAAGTAATTTAAAATTTTCTGTCCATAACTTCAAAGTCTGCAAAGCCCTGGGCTCATGATAACTGAGAACTGCCTAAATTGAATGGGTGAAGGTGGTGGTTAACAGCTATGCTTTTATATTGCAGTAACATTCTGTAACAGGGCTACGGCGTATCTATGCAACACATCAAATTTTCAAAGGACACAGCCCAAAACTAAAATTGATGTCCCTCTCCAAACAGTGTCATAAATATTGTCACCTTTTACTTCGTTTATAGTGCACATTTCTTCTTGAACCATCTTATGCTACGTATATGTTTTGTATTAGCTAAATGACATTGAATTCTGTTGAACAGCTTTGGGATATGTTGAACCCTCGTTGTTTAAAAGAATCCCTCCAGGCAGGTAACCCCCTGAAAAGCCAAGCAGTGCTGCATCAAAATACCAAGCTATTAAAAAACTGCTGGGTCACTGCTTACCTCACAGACAAGGAAAATATTTTATTTTTCCACATGATCTGATGCCATTACATCCTCAAGAGAGATGGAGACACATCCCTTCTGGCAGTGTTCCACTAGTCCCATCTTCAGGTGAATGACCTTTAAAGATCCCTTCCAACTCAAATGATTCTGTGATTCTATGATTTTTCTAGACACCTATTATGCAAGTACATTACCTTGGACTTGGATAGTGAAAGTCTCTCCCACAAGAAATTCATCTGGAAGCCTGCTGTGGTCACAGCAGCATTGCTTTCTGTTTTACAGGCATGAGGCAAGGTTACCCCTTTCATCCCTGCTGTGTAACCTCATTCAGCTCTGCTCTCTGTGACAGCAACAGGGCCCAAGGAAATGGCATGGAGCTGCGTCAGGAGAGGGCAGCTGGGAGTGAGGGAAAGGGTCTGCAGCAGAAGGCGGTGGGCATGGAGCAGCCTGCCCAGGGCTGTGGGCACGGGAGTGTTTGGACAGCCTCTCAGACACAGGAACTGGATTTGGGGTGGTGCTGTGCAGAGCTGGGGTCGGACCCCATGATCCTTATGGATCCCAAAAAACAGCAATGTAGGCTCCACACAAGGGAGGGAGGGCACAGGTCTGGCCCAATACCTACACATCTATCAGCTGTAGCCCTGGCATCAGAGCAGGAAGAATCTAGTATAGTGTTGCTCTGCTTTACATAGTGCACTGGCTTATAAAATCAATTGGAATGAACTGGAAAAGCTGCATGTATGCAGGTCCAGTCGGCATACACACACTGCCTGTCAGGGAGGCAGTGGGATGGTGGGGTGGAGATGCAGGCTTTGCCTCAGAGGCCGCATTAACATTAATCGGAATAATGAGCTTCACAGAGCTTAATACCTCCTGAAGGGGTTCCTTGTGACAAATTCTCTGCTTTTTATGGAAATTAATATTTCTAAAGTATGACGTGGCAGGGAGGCAGGACCTGTACCCCTGCGAGGGCTGAGCCCAGCCACACAGAGGCGGCTTCCCCAGCACACCAGACAGGCCCTGTACAGCCAGGCTGGGTGCCCTCAGCCTGCTGGCAGCAAAGCAAGCCAGAACCCACTCTGATTTCTGTCATCGAGCATCTCCCACAAGATTGGCTTCCAGATTAGCATAATCTTATTTGGCTGGCAACCATTTTTATTCAGTGCCTCCTAAGGAACAGCAGCAGGCTTTGGAGTGAGGTGCTGCAAACTGAAGACATTCAAGAAGCTAGGTTTTCCTCCTTGCTAAGGCACTGATGCTATGGCATAGCCACTCCATGGCATCAGCTGTCATTAACAAACAGCCAACCCACAGATAATGGCAGCGTTCACTCCCAAGTGCTGAATATAAATTTCCTCATAAGTTAATGTCTGTTATATCTTCTGTACAAAAAGTGAAGTGCACAGCCTTACCTGCCTGTACCAGACCTGGTGTATTCTTGAACCCTACCAAGTGAGAATCTGAGAAAGCAAAGTGTTCGAAACTGCAGTATGGATTTACGTGATTAAAGCTGACGCATCCTAAAATGATGTGCTCATTCTGGAGCCCTCTTCAGGCCATCTGGGCTTTGCCAAAAAAAGGCTGCTTTTGGAGACCTGGATCCCCTAGTCTCACTCATTTGCCTGCTTTTAGTTGTTCTGGCTGGCTGTACCTGGTGGGATTCATATCATAATGGCTACGTCTTTAAAAACTGCTTCCTGAAGCTGAGTTGCAGGATATATTCCAACATCTTGGAGCTCTCTGAGTGACAGAAACCACAGTGCTCTTGAGCCATATTTGAGCAAAGCTGTTAGATTGAAGGCTGGATGGCTTGAGGAAGTGAGGCATGGCCTGAGGAAGTGACTAACTTAGCAACTGAAAAACAAGTAATAGTTCAGAGGAATGGACTGGGAAAAAAAAAATTGCAAGGTTTTAGTCTTAGTTTTAGAAAGATTTTGATCTTCACTAGCAGATAGAAATTAGTGACTCTCCTTTCTTTACCACCTCTTCAACCATTCTCTCACCTTCTATCTTAACAAAAAATTTTTTTTTTTTTAAATTAATCCAAAATGTATATTATTTTTACATTTTCTATGAAAACAAGATATTACACAGCAAATATCATCTCCCAGGATGTAAGTAAGATTAGGAACATACTACAGATTTTAATTGTGATGAATACTTTCATGCCTCAAGCAAATTCTACAATGGAAAGTGGTAAGAATCCAGAGACAGCGCGTCTATTAACATTTCAGATGAGTTTGAAAATCAGTTAGATACATTATTCTGAAAATATTGTCTTGCCATGTGATAAGTTTCTCCAGTGGCACTCGTTGCTACTTGCTGCAATGCCAGGTCCTAAATGTGAAAAGCTTGGTGGGAAGTTACAGGATTATGTAGGTTCGATATTAACAGTCTGTGTAACATAAAAAGGAAATACCTGATTGTGTTATCTGATTTCATTTTAAAATGATCTCTTGAATGATCAGTTGATGACATTTTTGAAGGTTTATAAGATGTTAAAATTACTCCAGGAACATGAGTTTAATGTTTCCAGTATGTACACATCTGCTCCTTAGTTCATATAGACTTGGGCAACATCAGAGATTGGTCTTTGGGATCCTCTGTCTGAGGCAATGGACCCAGGAGAATGTCTGAGCTCCCCAGATGAGACACGTGTCCATGCCCCATCAACATGCATACATCCAGATGAGAACATCACCATCCATTCTTCTTTCTGTGACTCATCTTTCTCTAAGGCATGAACCCAAAAAGGTGCTGAAGTGCAACCTGCAAAGGCTGAAGCCACCACACACACCTGAGTACAGTCAGTTTAGTTAGTGGCTCTGTAACTGAAAACTACCACTCTGATCCTTTTTGCAGCCACAAGGTTAGGTTAGCATTTCTTTCTCATTGCCAAGAGACATTCCAAACCTAAGTTGTTCTACCTAAGCTCGGGACGGTGAGGTGTTGAAAATATTAATAGAGCTCTCATTATCTTCTAACAAACATTTGTCATGTTGGTACTAATTTATGCAGTTCAGCAGCAAAAGCTCCTAATGATTCTGTGGGAAAAAATGAATTACGTACTAGCATGTACTTTAATAGCATTAACTTTAGTAAAAGCATTTCTTTTTCTGCAGTTTTACCCTTAAGCTGTAGTTTCTCTGGTCTCCTATTGCATATTCTCGTTTGAAGAAATGTGCTGCTTTGTAGTTTTAAAATACATTTAACTCTAACCAGTGTTTGGACATCTGCCAATTCCACTTTGGAATTTCAGCTGATAAAGAGGGTAGTGAACGAGTAGGTCCGTATTTGTTATAAATCCAGGGATAGGCTTTGTCGTCTTAGATAAGATGAGATGGGTATTGTTTGTATGTCTTCATCTGGCTTGTAGCTACAGGAACCTGAATAGAAGAAAATTATTTTTCTGTTGCAGATTTAGCTTTTAAGAGGTTGTCTTAAACTTTGTTTTTCAGATCGCTTTCAGTACAACACTGGTTTTAATACAGAGTTGTTAAATTGGAAGTATTAAATTCCATAATCACGAGCTTCGTTTTAAAAATAACATCAGAAATTTATTCCTTGTATTTTTCAAGTGCTCTTTGAACAAGCAAACAAAAAGCAGATTAGAATCTCACTGCAATGGGAAATGCATTGATTCTTTTCTGTTTCTTCTTAGAAAACTTTGCATTCCAACGCTAATAGTCAGGGGTTGACTTTCAAACAAGCATACACAAGCATTTGACTTTTGACTTTCAAAAAAGCCCGTACGAATGTTTATGCATCAGTCTTCACAGCAATCTGAACTGTTTAAACTTTAGAAGGATGGACCTCGTGGGTATTTAAATATTCTTTGCCTGCAGTTAAATGATAAAGTTCAAAAAGTACAGTTTGCTTGTGTCTTGAAAACTTTTTTTTCTAGATTCACTCATTCATGACTTGCATCACTGACATTTAGTGCATTGTGGTTTGCAGTGGAAATGAGGAATGTTACATTTTAACTATAACATAACTGTGTCCCGTATGCAGTAAGCATGAAACGCAGTGGACTAATGGGACTTGTTATTGATGATGCTGAAAGCTAAATAACCATTAGTATTAAATCTTATGAATAGACTCTTGTCTTTCATCTTACCTCTTCAACCAGATAAAAGACACAGAGGCTATTTAGATGTCATAAGAATAGTTTGTTGAAATCCCTCTGGACTTAAAAAAAAATCTCTCTTCATGTTTCCCAGTGTTTCGTTGCGTTCAAAGAAATGCCAGTACACTGGTGCTGAAAGAAGTAAAGGACAGAAACCCAGCATTATGTGTGGGTTTAGGCTTGTTAAAGATGCTGTTGAGTTGAAATAGCATGCATCGTTTTTCTGCAGAAATCTCTTTATCAGATTTTTAAGAACAGAACATTGAATAGCACTGAAGATTGGCAAGAAGCCTTCCGAGACCAAACTATAATAGAACACTGTGAATGTTTTTGTTTTTCTTGTTCCACTTTGTGAAGTCTCATAAATGTTCTTAAACGACTGTAACAAACTAGAAATGCCTAAGAACTTTCTTTTACAGAGATGTTACATTTATGTAAAGCCTCAGTTCACCTAAAGGTAAAGCCTTACAACACTTTATCTAGCAACCTTTTCCATTCTAATAATAAACTGTAACAGAGGTGGTTGTAAATTGTACTCAACTTTCATACAGAATATTTAGGAGCAGAATGTACATACACTGTTACCAGCTGATGTGGAAGAAATATTCAGCTTGGAGATTCTTGTGTGGTAGCTTTGGGAACAGTAATTTAATTACAAGCATCTCTTGTGAAATTGTACTTCCCATAAATACTTCCAGATTTGCAGTGAGTAGATAGCAATAATCATCAGGGATTTTTTTGTTTGTTTTATAGGAAGCCGAATTGGAAAGCTGTGGTGTTAATACCATGCTGCTGGTGCATTTCTTTGGAAAAGAAGGAAAGGAAAAACTTCGCTATTCTGAGTTTTTCAGGTATTTTTGCAGCCAGTCCTGTTTGTAACACCTCTGCTCTGCATTAACACTGGTATTAGCCTGACCCTATGCTGAGTTGGTTCAGAAAGTTAAATGGATAACCAGGTAGAAGACCATTTGTGGTTTTACATGATTGAAGTTCTGGTGTAGCTCCTTGGACCTATTGTCTGCAGGGAAATCGTGCTCAATTTTCTGCATCCTACCCTGATGAACTCAAAAGCAGCAAAAGGGCTGGAGGTCACAAGGGTTGAGATTACCATTCTTGGCAGCTGTGTGCTGCCAACACACAGCATACTGTAAGACAGTATGATTCATGAATATTGTTTTAGAACAGTGCTAATCAATTAAACTTTACTGAATTGAGATGTTCCCCATTACAGCTGTAATGTTACAATACAGGAAACATTTCTGCTTGCTTCAAATTCCAACTTCTGTTGAAATTTCAGTGGTACCTTTTTTCACCCTTTGAACTATTGCACTAGGGCAGTGCAGATACTTTGTGGCACTTGTGCTGGTACTTAAAATTGAGCCAGATGGTAAACAGGATCAGACGGAAGCTGTGGTGCGTTACCAAGTAGCCACTACTGCTGGAAAAGCATTTCTTGTAAGTCTGTTTCACTGCAAGTTTGAAAAACCAGAAGCTCAAATGAAGTTCTAAGACTGGAGTCATTCAGTGCACGCGTTACACGTGTCAGAAAAATGCTCTAATCCCTGTCCACATTACAGCATGAAGCTCTGCTGTGGTTGATTTCAACTCGAAAATCCAACTGGTATCAGGTGTTTGTGTTTTCACTGAAGGGTTCTTTCTTCCAGTGTTCCTTTAAATCAGTCATGATGACCATCAGTGACACAGCATCAACATTTAACTGGTTAAAACTCTCTGTTACTTGGGAGATCAATTTCTACTTTTAGTATGAAGCCAGGACACATCTCGTTACGTGAATGTTGGGCCAGAAGCCAAATGCACACTTTGAAATAAATGGAAGTTAAATGCCTGTACATCTCTGTGATTCTTGACTTGCATTTTGAACACAACATCAAGAGAAGATTATCTACATTAGTATTACTTCTACAAAAATAATTGGACATTTACAGACTGTGGAAACAAATTGGGATAATTGTTTACTTGAATTTTTGTTCAGAATCGGGGAATCTGTGCCAGCCCCCTTAAAAAATGGATGTTGTTTCAGTCAGTAAAGGTTTGAGGGAAGCCAGAGTGAAAAAGGAAGACAATTTTCTTAACTCTAAAGAGCGTTCCACTCTACTGGCTCGAGTACATACCAGTCTTCAAATAAACAGCCTTTCTCTTTTGAAGACCTCCTACTCAATAGGAATCTGAGTAAAATAAGTTTAAGATGCCAGCAGCTCCCTTCTGTATAAATAGCATAGATTCTCTCAATGAAATAAAAGGCAGAGAGCACCAGTAAAAGGTTGTGTTTGCATATACAGTGTAAACTGAAATGCCTTGGCTTTTAGATAAAATCCCATGCTGACCCAATGAGGCATGACATTGATGAAGCTATGTACCGAGTACGATCAGAACGTATGGGTTAAAGACCTTTGCCTACCACACAGATAGAAGCCTGTAATCAAAATCAGACTCCCACATCTTGCTCTTAAAATCTGTGGGATAAGTGTAAGGTTTAATGCAGGTAATTTTTCAACAGTGGCAGTTATTTTTCATAGAGTTGGAATGAGCCTCTTTATCACTGTGTAGACACTCCATCTCAGTTGCAACATGACAGTGAAGTTTGTTTAACACACAGAAAGGTGAATAAAAGAATCAGTGTCTTTTTAACCTGTGTGAAGATATCACTTTTCACGTGATTTTATTTGCAAGTAAATCAAGCACATCACTTCTAGGTTCCTATTGTTCAGAGAAAATGTGATTTCTATCTGATGGCCTCTCATAACATTTTACCTTACGCGGGCAGCTATTGTTGGCTGTTTGATCAAAGTGCCACTCTGTTTTTACAAGAGATGACTGATGAGCTGTACAGACACAGATCATTGTCAAAAGAAGAAAAGAATGGTGGTAAATGCTTTTATCGTTTTCCAGGTTGTTGCCTAGAAAGCTTTTCCATTGATCAGTGTAGCACCTAGCGGAACGTAGAGGTGATTAGATTTGATTAGGACACACTAAAACGTGTCACATTAGTTAAATACACAGATATTACTGCATTACAGAGCCATACAGGCTTGAAACTTTTTTTTTTAAAAAAAAAAAAAGGAATGCCTTCTTAGTGAAATTTCACTTTACTTGTATGGGAATTCAGAAATCTGAGACTGATGTTCTCACCTCATTACTTACAGATATTTTCCTCATGCTTCTACTTTGCAGTTGGGCTGACTTAAAAATCTTTTTGGAAGTGCAGCCATCTGTATCTGCACCAATGATGTCCGACCCTTTTAGTCTGCAGCCCAAACACTTTAAAAATGTCAGACAGCCACAGTATCAGGGCACTTCATTTGCCTTGTTCTCCTTTGCATTCAGATGACACAAAGAAAATGGAAACTGTCTGTGTCTCTTGAGTCAGTGTGAAGCTGAAGTAAGCCAGTCCTTGTGCCTCCTCCCTTCCTACAGCCTCAAACACAGGAGGCAAATGGGTTATAGGGAGGGAACGTGGTTGATCATTCCATTCTCCATCTCCCTGCAGCTGCTGTATGTATAGGGGTCCCCTTGTGTGTATTCCCTACCTATGATTTCTAAAGAAATCAGACTGCTTTTTACTGGACAAGAACAAGACCATGAAACAATATCAGATCATTTCTCAGCTTATTCTTGTTCTGTTGTGAAAGCAGAAGTAAAGAAGTAATCCACAAATAGTAAGAATCCATGTAGAAGCAATTCCATATATATTTTATGACACCAGTTAAGCTCTTTCTCACTATTGTACAGAACGTAGTCAAAACAGCAACCAAAGCTGCTCCTTTCCATCCTCCATGGTGGGATTTCCACTTCTGCAGCTTCTGCTGGAACCACAGACAAGTTGAGGAGGCTGTCAAGGCAGCGCATCCTCCTGTGCCATTCACGTAGTAACAGGATGGTCTCAGAGCTCTTAAGACATGACCCAAGGAACACGTGTGCAGCCCCAGACTGCAGCACGATTTCTTGCCAGTTGTCTTGTCCTTAACATCACCATTCACATCTTCAAAACAGTTTTTTTTTCACTGGCAAAAGGTAGAAAACATTAATCAAATTTATTTTGTAGAGTGCTTATGTAAATCACTATCAGAAGTGGTGCCTCAAAGCCAGGTGCAATTGGAATGTTTATTGTCCTGTGTCAGTTTAAGAAGATATAAAAAAACACACAACAAGCTCATTGTATGTGTGTATATACACATATAGATATAACAAAGAAGGGTAAATTAAATACAAGAAGCTGTAACTCAGAAATGTGAATAAATTTCTGTCTCAGGTGACCACCACTTCGTTTTTACAACAGTATCATCTTCTAATACCTGCCCTCATCTTAGAGATTGTCACACTTCAAACATAAAGCCAGAAATCCACTGAAATTCCAGGCTTTTTTTTTTTTCATTCTCATGCCTGGCAGTTTCCCTGGAATTTTTGAGACAGAAACTATTTTTTGTACTTTTCCTCCAAAACTTTTTCAGTTGTGCTTTAAATTCAGCTATGTAGTGTGTGGGGGTTTTATTATTATTATTATTATGAGTAGAAGGCTATTTAGTTTTCTGGGTTTAGCACATATTTCTTCTTGACAGCCACTGTGGTGTTTTGTTATGTTTTTTTCTAAAAGTCCCTTGCTGATCTTGTTTAAGTATGTCTAATCCCAAATAAAAGAGGAGACAGTAATTCACTCCCTAGACAGTTTATGACTGCTATGACTTTTTTCCTGTAATCTGTCCCCAAGCAAGCTTAAATCTCTCACAATCTCCTTCAAGGGTGAAAAAAAAAAAAAAAAGGAATAAGTGAGAGAGTATGGAAAAAATATTAAAAAATACTTCTAATTGATTCTGGGAGGAGAAATGAAAAATTACTTTCCAGTATGGTTAAACAATGATCATAATTTAATCGTATAAGAAAAAATAAATCCTGTTAGTTTTCTGTCCTGATTTGTTGCTTTCAGACTTCTCATCAATTAATTGAAGTTCACACCTCTTTATTCATTTTTTTCTTCTCTAGCTCAGAGGTCACCAGTTGTACAACCATGCACAAAACACTGCCTTTCATTTACTTGCCCTGTTTCTCTTTCTCTTGGTATTTTCAAACTCCTTGGTACATTCATTTAAGAAACCAAAATATATACACTAAACCACACTGATAGAACTGAAATTCGTTTGGTGCTCTTTCTGTGTTCGTGCCAAGGCACACAGGCAGGATTTCAAGTAGCATCATCAACCAGTGATGTTTTTGCTGTGGTGACAATTTGCCCATTTCCAGTGATTTTCATCTAGAGATTTGGAAGTGCAGTTATGATTGCCTTTTTCTGTGTCCCTGTACCTACACTTCTATCTGTCTATAGACCCCAAATTCACTTAGAGATGACATACAAGCAGGATCAGACTGAGAAAAGAAAAGGGATAAGAACAAAATCTGGCTTCTGGTTCTATATTCCTATTGTAAGTGAATCTGAGCATTTCCCAAATATTTAGTAGTGAGGCTGAGAAGAATCCCCATTTCTTCCTTTTCTGTATACTTATCAGACAAATAGCTTGATTTGTTTCCACAAAGTGCTTATAGATGAACGTGATTAGTTTGATTATGTTTGGTTTGGAAACACTGAGGACACTAAATCAATGGGAGTTTTGCCTGTAATTCTGACAACACTGAGATTGATTAACTGCTTCAGCACTTGCTAAGCTGAGTTTGCAAGCATGTATGTAAGTGGTCTGTGAAGGTTAGTGGTCAAGTCCTTATTAGGTTTTCCATATTCTCTTCTGGAAAGTCATGTTTGCCAAAAGGCAGCCTTGCAGCTGTTATTAGCAGTCATTTGCTGCAGAGATGATTATCGAGTCTCCAGCAGGACTGCAGTGTCTGAAGAGAAGCCAAAGCAGAGTAGAAATGCTGGAGTGATGTATTCACCTCTGTCTTAGTTGTCAAGTTTCCTTCCTACAAACCTGTATATCACAAGCACTGGTCGGTTCTGTATTAGAGTACTGAAGCTCTGTACAGACTTTGAATTCAGATCAAAAAGTATAGGAAGGAAAACATTCCCTAAACTTTCCTTTTGTGTTTCATTCTCTATTTCATGTGCCATAAGGAAGCTAGCACTTCATTGCAACATCTCAGGTTGGAGAAAGAATAGCTGCATTCCTGAGGTTCCGCACTTTTCACTTCTATTAAAGCTGAGTTGCCAAAAAGTCCTAAGAGACTCCCTCTTGCTATGGGTTTGTAAAGCATGTTACAAAATGGGGGCTAACTTCTGATAAGGCTTCTGGATGCTGTTGTAACATAAAACAGGCTGTCTTAAAGAAAGTACTGTCTGCTCCCAGCCTTTTCTCCATCTTACAAATTTGTGATTGATCTTTTCTTTTTGTTATTTGGAAACTCAGGAGTTGCTTTTATCCTTAAGCTGCAGTGCAAGAGCATTTCCAGTGCAGTTATTCTTGAATTGTAGAACACATCTAATATGCAAATCCCATTCCCACAGCTGAATTTTGTCTTTTGCCATTGACTTTAGGAGAGCAGGAATTCCATTAGTATGCTTGTTTTTCCTAATATATGAAGAAATTGTGAAGGAATTTCTAACTGAAAATTGTCACACTGTGATCCAGAAGATAAAGAATCAAGTATCCCTAGTGGTGTTGCGGCATAAAACTATCAGGTTTTACTTCCTAACCAGAAAGCTATTTTTAATAACTTCTAATAACTTTCTTTTTAAAAAACTCATTAGGATTTTTAACTCTCACATCTGGGAATAACAGTGACCTAGAATGCTGATGTGATGATTCATGGTATTTTAATTTTTGTAATATGGGAATCTATCAGATATAAATTTTACATTACGTATTTCAGCTGCTGAATTTGGTATGGCAGGAAATCTTCCCACTCTAGCTTGCCAGGAGCAAGCCTACGTGTTGAAATGCAGGATCCATTAATTTTTTTCATACCTAAAGAAGTAATTCCTGCTCTCCTCCCCACTCTAAGTACGATGCATGGCTGTTGTGCAACCATCAGTGTGCAGTGACATTGCCTGGAAGCAACTGGAGAGGACAAGATTCCAGGCTTGAGAAAAGGCAGCAGAAACCATGGAAAGATTCAATGCCTCATTCCCTATGAGACGGAAGCAGAATCAAGCATATGTCAGAAATGCTAGAGCCAAATGCTTCCCTTTCCTTTTTGGTTCCCTTGCACCATTCAGCTGGCTGATGTATGCAGATCACTGGCTCCTTCCTCGGCATATAGAAATGCTTGGTCACCCAGTGCTGCCCTGTCAGGGTACAGCCCTGGGTGGATCACTGAGAGATTTGTGCTTAAGTGAAACCTGCAAATGCAATATTTAGACATGATGGAGGAACATGTCATTTGTCATCACCTGGCTACTGACCAGCTAATGACAGAGAGGCGGCTCTCCAAAATGAAGAGCTTATCCTATCGAGGACAGACCTTACACCTATCACAAGATGTATTTTACTTCCACAGAGTAAAAGCCAAGAAAATAAAACACCAAATTACACCCTGTCTTTTTTTCCTACATTCATGGCTTAAACGTATTTCTGAAAGCAACCTTATTTTCAGCAGCTTCTCCTCCCCCAGACCAGGCATTCCATCAACTGCAGTCAAAGATGTGGTTACTGCTCTGCATGACCTGTGCTGTCTTCCAGCCATACGTGAGCCACACATCCCAGATACTGCACTCTCACTTCTGCTGGGCACTCCCAAAACGCAGCAAAGCTCTGTTAGGTTGCCTGCATGGCTTTGGTCTGCAAGGCCTGTTCTGCCCAACTGCTCAGCACAGGCAGACATGGGTGTTTAAAAAAAAGAGGTCTCAGGATCACAGCCTTCAAAACAGTGCAGCCAGCTTTTGAAAGGCTGTTAAGGCAATGGTACTCTGAGTACCCCAGCCAAGAAAACCTGCCTGCTGTAATGCTGTCCATGGGGGGGAGGGGGGGGGAGGGGGCACCTCTGCTGTGCAGGGGCCTTGAAACTACCTTCACTGGACCACAGTGTATAAAATGTGGGAGCATAGCACACACATACTCAGTATTACAGTAATAGAACTCCAGCCTGAATCTTAAATTTCCTCTCAGTGTCAGGCTTTCCATCACCTGTGTGTCCTGAGCAGTGAAGCATTTGTTGGCCCTTTATTTGCATGTGCAGCTCTAATTATTAGAGAAGAAAATACAAGAGAGAGCTTATGCTGCAGCAGCAGCCTTCAGCTAACCCCTTATAGACTTCACAGAGCTTCAAGCTACTAATTGTCCGAGTGATCTCATTAAAGAACTAAAGATAGCTGTGCAGGCTAAAATGCTTTAATTTCAGGGAAAATAATTCAAATCCAGTGAGGCCATGCAAACACTGACAAGCAAATGAGGCTCTGCTGCTCTTTGCTGCCCAGACCCTTAGCTGTCTTCTCCAACTAATTGCTTTGTCCCAATATAGAAGTATTTCATTCCCTCCTGTCAGTAAATTTTGCAACTCAATTAAGCAGGGTTCTTTTGATGTAATGAAAAGATTCTGGCAAGTCTAGTTGTGTTTTTAACCTCTATATTCACAGGGGGAAAAAAAATTGTACACAGCCCATCTCTAAATGGCTCATATACCACTGGTTTTCTCTATCTTGAAGTTCATATCAGTCCCTCCACCCCAGAAAATGATAAATGGCTATGTGGGCCAAAATGGGGAAATTTAAAGCTACTGCTCTGCTTGTGGTTCCAGCTTCTGGAGGGTAGTGGAGTGAAGGGTGGTGAGGTGCTGGCATGGGTTGCCCAGAGAGGTGATGGGTGCCTCAACCCTGGAGACACTCGAGATCAGGCTGGACAGGGCTCTGAACACCTGATGGAGCTGCAGGTGTCCCTGCTCATGACAGGGAGTTGTATCAGATGGCCTCTAAGAGTCGCTTCCAACTCAAACGGTTCTGTGATTCTGTACCCTCACATTAGTACTTGATTCTTGTGCTGCTTTAGTTTTTCTCCCTAAAGAATGAGTGCCTTCTAAAACCGCTGATGTTCACAGCCTCCTTTTTCAGACAACTCTTTCCTGAAATACCTGCAACATCATTTTCTGTGCTCTTCCAAACCGTCTGCATGCCATCTGTAGTCCCAGCGAACCCATTCTCTCAGTATTAAAGAACAAATTTGCCAAGCTTCTCTTCTGCCATCTGAGGCTTTGCAGTCTTTGAGGCTTTTAGTTGTCCTTTCATGTAGCGATGATTTCAAGGTTCCTCTTTTCTTTCACCTTTGTAATAGTTGGGGCCTCTTCTTTGGAGGTGTTTTCCAACCTTAAATTCCTCTCTTATTAATATGAAATTTCATAAAGAACACATCGAGCCTTTAGCTGCCGTGTCCTTTTCCACTCATTCATTACAACACTGCCTCATCCATCATTTTAACTCATTATCTGCACCTTTTCAAACATTTCTTTCTCACGTGAAAACTATGGACGATCTCTGCATGCTGTCTTAGCGTGGGCTTAGGGAGCGCCCTGCTGGTGTCCCTGCTGAAATGCAGCCCTGGGAACAAGTCAGCTCCCAGGCTGTATCTGCGGCCAGCTGGTGGTGTCTAATGCATATTCACTATTTGTTCTCACAGGTTCATGGAAAATTTGCAAACAGAAGTGCAAGAAATGGAATTCATACAGTTTTCCAAGGGATTGAATGTCATGAGAAAGGAGGACTTTGCAGAATGGCTACTGTATTTCACTGACGAGGAAAATAATGAAATTTACTGGCAAAACGTGAAAGACAGATTTGAAGCAGGAGAGGTTGGTACCTGGAGTGTGCTTTGTTTTGCTTCCTTGTTTCTGCATACAGGTTTTCATGTGAATGCAAGTATCTAAAAATAAAACCAGTTTCCAAATCAATTATGGCAGCTCTTGATTTTTATGCAAATAAGAACCATGACAATTTATTAACTGAGAAATACAAGTATTGAGAACAAGTGTTCACATCCAAATGTTAAGTCCATTGGATTTAACAAAATAGATTTACTTTGCTTTTGAAAGTACTATCCAGTATATATCATCTAATTCTTTGATACTCTAGAATATCAGTCTGGAGGAATTCAAGACTTTCTGCAAGTTTACAAACAACTTAGAAGACTTTTCTATTGCCATGCAGATGTTCACTGTAGCCAACCGTCCCGTTAAGCGAGGTGAGTGCTCCACAGCTTCACATCTGTATTTTTAAAAAAGAAAAGATGCACTTTTCTTACAGAATTTTGTGCAGTGCTACACAATCATGCCTATGAAAAACAAGTAAGGTATTTTTCAAACCAAAGAACTGAGGGAGTTGTGCCTTTCACATATAACAGACATTTAGGAGCAATGCGGCAACATTTTTGTGGAAATACAAGTGTCTTTTGTTGTGATTCTGACGTTGTTACATACTTGTGATACTTGAAAAACAGATCTCCTGAGTTATCTGAAAACAGTAACAAAAGTTCCTGAGAAGGGTTGTTGAGACATTAACATTCGTTTAGATGCATAATTGGTTGGCTCACTTGAAACTGAACAGTGTGTCATGGCAAGATCCTTCTCCTTTTCTTTGTGTTCTACTCACAAAGGTGCAGTGCCATGTCTTGATTTATACTTAACATAAGGAGCTGAAACAGTTAACATCTTTTTGAAGACAAAGTTAGGACTGTATATAATGTATGTTGGGACCTTTTTAAGTTGTGGTATATCCTTTTTCAGGAGGATTTTCTACTCAATTATATTTAAATGAAATGTAGAAGAATCAACTGCATTTACAGAGAAATTATTGAAAGAGGCAAAGATGAGTGATGGAGTGCTCTTTTTTCTAGTAAGCTTCAGAACTAAGCATATTTATATAATTAGTTATAAACATCATTTGCTATGAAATCAGAAGCACAACATTGCTGTATTTATCACTTAGTGGAGATAACTTGCTGTAATAATCTACAGTGCTACTCTAATATAGTAACCTTCACTTCCTCCTTGAAACTCAGACATCTGTGATGCCTTCAAAAATGCATACCATTCATGTGGCAGAATGTGCTTGCAGTGATAATCTACAACGATTTCCCTCTTGTTATCTTCTGTTTTATGACAATCCCATACATTTTCTTATTTTACTTGAGGCAAAACTCCAAATTCTTTACACCACAAAATATTCTAACTAGAGGACATTGCAAGATCTACAGAATGCTGCAATGTGTGTGCTTTGCAGTGCCTTTCAATGTTCAGTAATGTAATGATGTCGTATTCTGTCTTCACTAGCTGAGTTCAAGAGAGCAGTGAAGGTGGCGACAGGACAGGAGCTCTCAGATAATATTCTGGATACCATCTTCAAGATTTTTGATCTCGATGGAGATGACTGCCTCAGCCACAGCGAGTTCCTCGGTGTCCTGAAGAAGCGAATTCATCGAGGTTTGAGGGTGAGAAGCTGATGGCATCTATTCTTCCCATTAACATACTTGCTTCTGAATACCACAGATTATTCTTACAACTGTCTTATTAATGTTTGTAGAAACACAAGTAGAGATAGTGAATGGAAAGAAATTATATTTTAAATTGAAGACTCCTTACTGCTTATGAATCTGGGAGGAGTGCTGCCATCATTGGTAATATACATCTGAACTATGGGAGCAGCAGCATTGCTCTACATATTATATTTATAACACAGTCTGCAATTAAGAGTCTTTTTTGTGTAAATGTTAAACATGCTCTAATTTTATTAACAGGTACCACAACAGCAAGGCATTCAAGGGTACTGGAAGTGCGTGAAAAGGGAAAGCATTAAAGGAGCAAAAGAATTGTGGAAGCAAAGTGGGAAAAGTCCTTTTTAAAAGTGTCCATTATTGCTGGTTTGCTGTAAATGTTGTGTAGGGTTTTTTTTGTCTGTCCTGTTTACATAAAAGCTGAATCAAAAATACTTTTTTTTACTACAGCTGAGCTAAATTAACCCAATATCTAATGCAAAAAAAAAAAAAAAAAAAAAAAAAAAATTATATCGTTCTAGTGTAATCAGTTGGGTTTACAGAATTGTTATCATGTTTGACCTCCCTACAGAAATACTCTTGTTCTAGGGAATAATGCTATTTATTTTTTTGTGGAGTCTGACCCTGCACTGTGACCTCTGGGATGCATAGGATTTAATAGTGGCCACTGGCTGGAACAATCCAACAGTATCATCTCCTGGTGGAAGAATGGCCATCATCTCATCCGGCCACTGACAAAGACAGGGGTCCAAAAAGGGAAACCATTTGCACAGTCCATGCAAGTCAAGGTACCTGCATCAAAAACGAAATCTCACGTGGCTTGTGCCCCCATTACTGTGAGCTGGTTGTTGCTAGTTCCTGGCAGATGGTTCCACCAGGTCCAGGGTAGATGTCTGCTTTGTCTGCTTTTGTTGATAATAGCTTTAAACTGGAAATATAAGGCTGCTAATGCAGGCTTTAAAAGTTACATGTTGATCTATGAATGTGTATTGAGACTCTCAGACCTCTTCAACAAACAGTATAAACAAGAAGGAAAAATCCTCATCCTCATTCTATCATAAGCAGTGATTACACCTTGATTTGTAAATGTTTTGCTTAATTGTAATGCAGAAGATAAATGTGTAACAAATATTTACTTTGTGTTAGTAACAATTATGACAGGGAATGCTGCAGTATCTCAGGAACTCAATGTTATAACAAGCGTTGGCAGGAATAATAGACCCAACAAAAAGTAAACAAATTGTTTAATTGCAAAGCTAGACAATTAATTGCAAATCCAAATTGCAAAGCTAGACATAAGATGTCAAACAATAAAACAAAAAGAAGGTAAAAATTAACATGAATGTTTTTCAGCCATATCACAGTGTGCTTCTCTGTATACACACATATGCATGGTACATGAGTTTTTTTCTTACAGACTCAAGAGCCTGTAGTCACAGGTCCGGATCACTGGTTGGTCACTGCATATAGGAGACAGACTTTAACACACAGAGCTGTCTGCATTGTCTGTTTTGTCCAGGCTGGGGTAAAGGCCTGACTTTTCAAGACAGGTTTGTTCTAACAGACTCAAAAAAACGAACTGGGTAAAACAACTGAGAAATCTCACCACTGCAGATCCCACCTAAGGAGGGTTACAGGTAAGATATTTGGTATGTCAGTGGCCATCAGGCAAGCTAGCGCTAAGGAAGAGTCCTCCCAGGTCTCAGCACTCTAGAGAGAAGCAAGCAAAGCAGCAGCATGCAACCACCTGCTACTCCTCCCTGTGCAGCATTCTCTTGGAGCTTTAATTTAAATTGTGTGAAAGAGAAAATGCTTTTCTTTGTGTGATCTGTAAGCATGCACCCAGTCTCGTCCATATGAACAGGAACGTGACTGTGGGTGCCTCAAGACCTGTCTAGAAAATCAGGTACCAGTGACTGCCAAGGATCCCTCTGCTTCCACCAGGAGCCTCTCAAAAATGCAATAAAATGCAGTAAATGCCACTGCCTCTCCCCCTTAAGCTGAAATGGCACTGCTCTGTGGGCAATGAGAAATCAGGCAGCTGTTTTCACTCTGTGCTTTTGGAAGCTGCTTATGGTGATGGGAACTATGAATAAGAGCTGCTGGGAGCAGAGGTGGGGCAGCAGGGCTGGCATGGAAGTACCACAACCAGCTTCAGATCACTAAACAATATTTTTTTAAAGGACAAAATCAAGCAAGACACTTCTGTATCACAGAAGTGTGTGTGTTCCCATACAGTGGGCGTTGTTCCAGCTCTGCTATAATATAAGGCAGCCTTTTACTTGTTGCTGTTCATATTTTGGCAAATTGTTTTTACTTTGGAACAGACACAATTGTTTAACAATTTATTCTGTGAGTTCTTAATAGGTTTTTGATGTTCTACATTGCTTTTGTGGTTGTTTCTTGTTTTGTTTTGTTTACCAATGACACATATCCTGCAAACTGTTTGGTTTTCTGTTGGAAAAATCAATTCATCTAGCTTTAGTGTATCTAGGAGTTTAATGCCTCATTGCTCATTCGTATCTGGGTTTGTGCAATCAGCAATATCGGCTTTTGGCAGCAAGTTACTAAAAATGGATTTCAAGCTTTATTTCTTAGCTAAGGATCTGGTATCCAGTTCAGAGGAAAAAGAAAACAGATACGTTTATTTTAAAACAAACATCATGTCTATAGTAAAATAAGAAATGGAATGATTTCTTAGGAATTAAAGTGCAATTAACATTTTCAGAAGAAACTATCCTGAAAGAACAGCTAGGAAGGAATTCCTCTGAATGCCAGGGAAGATTTGTCCGTTGAAAAATCAGGCTCTGTGTTTAATCTGTAGCTTGTTTTTGTTTGTTTTCACCAAAAAGATTTGTGAAACAGTCTTAAAATCATTTCTCAGATAAAATATCTTAGACTGAAAGAGCTGTTTACATAAGTGTTTAGGCCGACCTTGTCTGATGAAGAGTCCATTGTAGTTTTAATTTTTTTAAGCTCCTCTTAGTAACTGTATGGTATTTGCAAGCTGTCTGTCAACATTACTCAACACAATTTATTCAAAGGTCTTGCCTACGGCCAACGTGCCAATGAAGTGTATCAATTACAACTTTTTTAACCTTACAAATTCTTCCTCTGAACAGAAATATACTAAAAATGAAATAAAATTAAATGCTAAAAAAAAACCCTCCAACTTTGCTTTTGAGTGTTATTTGGAATAAAAAAAAATAATATATTACGTATTGTGGAGGTCTCATAAACTGTTTTAAAACTATTTTAAAAGAATACACAAGATGAGAACTGCCAGATAAAGGGCCGAAATGGGAACAAATCCAGAGAGTTAGAGGAAGTATTTCAAAATTCGTATCTATTGTCCATACTTTGACTTAAGCATAGAGATGGATTAATAAATGTACATTGGAGTTTCAAATACAGTTTTCTTCTCATGGAAGAGTGCCAAAATCTCGTGTCTTCAACCTTTCCTATTAAACAGCCACAGCAGGTCAGGAAACTATTCCAGTGAAGAAAGAAACCTTCAGTCCTTCTGAACAGACAGTATGCATCCCAGTGATGTGGATGTTATTACTGAGATCCACACTGACCAAGCAACAGCCCCTCTAATGCCACTGGGCACTGAGGAAGCATGATGGCAAAACCTGTGGACATAGACACATATTGTGTCACACATTTGTGCGCCAGGCAGCCATAGAAATTCCTCCTAGAGAAACTGAAGATGTTGCCCAACAAGAAGTGGAAAGGAAACCTGAGAGACTTGAGCATGTACAAAATTAATCCACAAACAAGCTTGCAGCTCCTCGCTCATTTACTTTCTGAAGGTTTCCTGCTGTCTTTGTTGATTAAACAATTCCTGGTTGGTTCAATAATGTAGAAATTATGCAGCATATGTGGAGACAGATTTCCCATTAGGCTGGTGTTGGCTCAGTTAATAAAGTTTTTGCTTCGTTAACCAGAAGGCTGTGGTGCAGAGCTCTCCTCATGGACCCCAGGAACTGCGCTGTGGCTCCTGCACACCATCCATCCAGCATTGCACAACTGTGCCCACCTGTGTCATGCCAGAAAGCACACATCAGTCCTTGGAGAGCAAAAAGCTGTGCTTTTTCACACCCACATGCCCAAATGGAAGTTTGTTTTTCTGTTTCCTGTCCCAGCTGATGGTGGTCGGCCTTTCCTCACCAACTGTGATGTGGAAATCAAATCATAGAATGATTAAGGTTGGAAAAAAACGCTAAGATCATCCAGTTCAACCATCAGCACGTCCCTACCATGCCCATTAACTGTGTCCCTCTGTGCCACATCTCCACATTTCTTGAATCCCTCCAGGGACTGGGCATCCTGTGCCCCTGCCTCACCACTCCTTCCGATAAGAAATTTTTCATGATATGCAACCTGAACTTCCCCTGGTACAACTTAAAGAGAGGAAGGTTCTGGGATGCTCTGGCTAACTTAAAAATTGAAGGCTCTGGGAGTACACACTCTCCATTTGGCAAAATGTGAGATTCACTTTGGCCTCATATCAAATGCTCTCAGACAGGAAAATCTGGGAGAAAGGAGACTCTGTAGTCAAAGCAGAGAAATGTGTGGGATTTCAGACACCAGCAAGTGCCAAAACATCCTCTGAAGAGTCTGTCCTTGTCATAGAATCATAGAATACCCTGAGTTGGAAGGGACCCACGAAGATCATCAAATCCAGCTTCTGGCTTTACCCAGGACCACCCACAAATCAGACCATATGCCTGAAGAGCGTTGCCCAGACACCTGTTGGTCAGTGTTGTGACCACTGGGCTCTGTTCCAGGGCCTGACCACCCTCTGGTGAAGAACCTTTTCCTGATCTCCAACCCGACCTTCCCCTGATGCAGCCCCAGGCCGTTCCCTTGAGTCCTTCCCCATGAACTGCAGAGGGAGCACAGGAGATGAGCTTCGCCAGACTTAACTTGTACTTTGGCAATGCCTTCTTTGTTCATAAGCTTTAATGGATCCTAAGTAAGAATACTTACATTTGGACTTTTTTTCTATAAACTGAAGTGCTGTTTTGTTGGAAGGGTGAAAACTCTTAGAAAGGAACAATTTTAAAGACTCGTCAATACAGTATTTTGGTTTTTTGGGGTTTTTTTTCATCTTAATTATGTGGCATCTTACTGTATTTTAATCTACTTTGAAATTGATACTATTAGGAGCAAACATTACTAAAAAGTGTGTGTCTCTTAAATAAACCACACAAGGTGGTTCCTAAAGCAATGGGAGCTGAGTCACAGGATAGCTGATTGTATTCCCTGCTGAATGGGAAGGATAGCAAAATGCTCTGCAGCTTTTTAGGGTAGCAAAATGCTCTGCAGCTGGTCTTTAGAAAAGAGAATTCAAACTGTAATTTAGGAGACATGAACATGACCGAACACAAGGATGCTAGGAAAGCAATGAATAAATCAACCCACAGCTGAAATTAAATGTTTTGAATGCTGTTTGAACAAAACAAGTTCTTTGCAATCTAGGATTTGACCCAATGCAAACAAGGACAGCTAATTACTCACAGTTAATGTATACAAGATTACATGAGCCGTACTGGAATGCAGAGAGCAAGTATTTGAGCCATCTCCTTTGGTTTTATGTGTATATCAGAAATCAAGCCTACAGAAATTGATTTGTCTGTTTACTACCAGGAACAAATAAAAAAGATTCCTAATGAGCCACATTATTATTTTGCATCAACCTCCACCTAAAAGGATGCTGGGTTGCTTCT